ATTCATTCCTCTTTTCCTTTTTATTTCTTCTTATTATTATTTTAGTCCAAGACAAGTAATCCAATTTTAAATTATTGTTGTTTGAATCAAAGCTATCTTATCCAAGAACTTATGGAAACTGACATGCATCGTGTAATTCGTACTCAAAATTTAAGTGATGATCATTGTCAATATTTCATTTATCAAACTCTTCGTGGGTTGAAGGCATTACATTCTGCCAATGTACTTCATCGTGATTTGAAACCAAGCAATCTTTTGTTAAATGCTAATTGCGATCTAAAGGCAAGTGACAAAAAACAAAATTCGATATTTTTTAACGTGCAAAATTTAATTTAATTTGTGAAATTATCATCGATGACCATGAATAGGTATGTGATTTTGGTCTGGCAAGAAGTGCAAATTCCAGCGACGAACATAGTGGATTCATGACAGAATATGTTGCTACAAGATGGTATCGAGCTCCAGAGATCATGTTGACATTTAAAGAGTATACCAAAGCCATCGACGTTTGGTCTGTTGGTTGTATTTTGGCAGAAATGTTGAATGGGAAACCATTATTTCCTGGAAGAGATTGTATCCTTTATTTATTACAGTTATTGTAAAAAACAATTTTATTTATTTTTCATTTTAAATTTCCATAACTCATTCTGCAACTTTAAAACAGATCACCATCAACTCACTTTGATTCTTGATGTTCTTGGTACACCAACTATGGAAGATTTCCATGGAATTAAAAGTCGAAGAGTAATTAATTTACAAAATTTTTTCAATTGTTAATTTATTGTGAGTAAAATAATTAAATAATAATCATCGTGATCATCATCATTCTTATTATAATGTGGTTAATTAATATATATCTAGGCACGTGAATATATCAGGAGTTTACCATTTAAAAAACGGATTCCTTTCTCTAAAATGTTCCCTGATGCAAATACGCATGCTATAGATATGTTGGAGAAATTATTAACTTTTAATCCTACCAAAAGAATTACTGTTGAAGAGGCTTTAGAACATCCTTATTTGGAACCTGTAAGTTATTAAATAATTGTTTTTGAGAATAATTAAAATGATCCAAATCAAATTATTTATTAAATCGTAGCGATTTTCCCACTTTTCCACTACTCCATTTTGATAATAATATTAGTATCATGATCCTGAAGATGAACCAGATGCTGATCCAATTCCAGGATCTTTCTTTGATTTTGATAAACATAAAGATCAATTGACTAAAGAACAATTAAAACGTATGTAAAAGAATTATCTTTTTTTTGTTGTAATCAATATTTTTTAAAAGAGGAATTAATATAAAATTTTTTTTCTAGAACTTATTTATGATGAAATCATGAGACCAATATAAGGATTTATTTATTATTATTATTATTATTATTATTATTATTATTATTATTATTATTATTGTTATTATTATTATTATTGTATTATTATTATTATTATTATTATTATTATTATTATCGAATTGATAGATAGTTTTTAATTAGATATACTATTGGGTTGTTTTATAAACAAAGATCTTGGTGCGTACAAGATAAAATTCATTATTTATTTTGTTAAAATTCTACATTAAATTAAATTTTACTAATATTATTTTATTAATTAATTAAATTTTATTGTATCATTCATTATATATCGTTATCTTTATTTATTGAACATTGAATCTAATACAATCATCTTGAGAACCGCGTTTAGCAACTGGCATGATCCAAGGTTGATGAGTTTCTGTACCACTGAGAGTACATAAGCGATAAGCTCCAGCCGATAATCCTCCATCTACTGTTGTCGAAAGACCAACAAGACCACTTCCGACTGAAGATCCAGCATCTTCTAAA